CTTATAATTCATTTTACTCCTCTTTCCAAAGTGATTTATGCATCTGACTTTCAAACAGTTCATCTAAATCTTCAAATATAGCTCGCACAATATTTCTTCAGAGGAAACATATGCAAATAACCTACTAAATAACTATTTATACATACAATTAGCTGTTGAACATGACAACAGCAACTATGTTTGAAAATTACAGCCATACATTTTTACAAGAGTGGTTCTAAACAGTTCATCTGAATTTTCCTGAGTCATAAAAATGGCAAAGATTAAATGGGAAACCCAGTTCCACTTATCTAAACAGCACATCCTGCCTTCGTACAGGGGGTTGGACTAGATGACCTTTGAAGTCCCTTTTTCCCATTTAATTCTATGATTTTTTCATAGCAGGAAATAATCACATGTGTATGCAGAGTGCAGAATGTTCTAAAATATCTTCTGTGTTTGAGGCTCTGCAAGCTACCTGTGTAATCTGTATTCTTTTTCTGATCTATTTATCCAATCATAACAGGAGTACACTTGTGAATCCTTAGTTCTGTATGCTCAGTCTAGCACAACACTGTTCCCATTACCTAGATGCTGTGTTTATTTTACCTGGCCAAGTGAGACATAGAACTTTCTCATAATTAATTCGTCTTCATCTTCCTCAGGGAGAGGAGGATTTGGTTCTCTTTTCACAATCCAGGGATAATATGCTGTATCTATAATGAAGTTAATACCAGTACTGCTCCATTCTACTTGCGATATCAGTTTAGCTAACCTACAGTTAAAATGTTAGGAGACAAAAGAAGTAGTTCATTTTAAGTATTCATTCACAAATTCATTTGATTTAGCTTTACAATTGACAGTACACCCTAAAAACAAGTTCTTAAGGGTAACTTCATGCTCTACTTTTTATTTTATTCCCCCCCTACTTCAAGTTGGAAACAGCTTTCTTCTTGCTAACTCAGTTTTTCTAGCTACAAGTATGGCTCCAGGTAAAGCTGTAGCTAACAGCTGTTAAGGAAAACCCTTTCCTCTCCTGCCTGGTCTTTGAAAGAAACTCTGGCTTTCCTCAGCTTATGTGGAGAAGGAACCCTACAAGCTCATCTGCAGAACTACTACGGGAGTAAAAATGTTTATCAAAATATTTTGAAAGAAATGCAAAAGCTAGGGGGCTACAATACAAAACAACACCAGGCAATATGTATTAAATGATACCAGAAGACAAAAGGGGGTTGAGCCACAAAGTGGAAGACCCAAGAGCTGCTGTTTTTACATGAAGCTCAGAGCTGCTGTTGCTACATGGAGGTCATTGCAACAGGGAGCAGAGATCTCACCTTCAGCCTGCAAGTGACCATGGACATTTTTCAGTGTCCAGAGAAAGGCACGTGGAAACGGCACAACAGCAGATGGGTCCGTAAAGGAATCACAGAAGATGCATAGCCCACAGAAAACCAGGAGCTTTCCCAGAACCAACCCAACTCAACCCAAGGATGTAAACCATGAGGAAGAAGAAAAGAAATTTGTTAGGTACAATTTACTCCCCCATTCATGTGCTCCTTTTCTCTTAGCTTTCTTCACAGCCCCTAAAACTTCACCCCCATTCCCACTCTGCGATCAGCAGAGTCCTTGTCTCTCAATGGAACAACAGATGTTCTCTTAAAGAAGCTGTTTATTTTAAGAACAGACATTGACAATGCAAAACAAAAAATAACTGAATACTTTAAAGAAAAAAATACATATTTTGTGCAGGCAGAGAAACAAATCTAGTAAAGTAAAAACAAAGCAACTACAATTTCACACATTCCAAATACAAAAACAAGTACAAACTAACACCTGGGCATTCAATTTAAATACCTCAAAGAGACAAAAGAAAGTTTGCAAGTAAATCAGTACAGTAATGGGGAATACATGACTGTAGAAACAACTCAGTAAACTTACTGGATGCAGGTTTTTCAGCTGTAAATATTTTGGTTTTTCAGTAGAAAAAAAAACCCAATTATTTTTGTTTTTCAGTGGGAAAGTCCAAGTCCCAAACAAATTACTTGCAGAATGCAAGGCTTGGATTCATGAAAGAAGTAGAAATTGAATGCTGCTGGCTTGTTGGCTCACTCTTTCAACAGGCTCACAAAGCTGGTCAGTGAGCACAACTCTTCTTCACTTATAGAGCTCCTCTCTTGTTTTCTAGCACAATTTCAGTAACATTTTCATGCAAGCACTAGTTGAGGTTTCCCTGCATGTTCCTCAAAAGAGCAGCCTTTTTTCTCCCACTGAAGTAAGATACTTCCCCATGCCACTACTCAATTGTTAGGTCTTCCTGCATTATGGCTTCCTTTGAACAAACCTTGTTCTACAGAGATCAGATTTCTCATTTCCTTCTAACTGAACGTCACTTCCATGGAGGAATCACCCACAGCAAAATCTTGACATGCAGGAGAGTAAGCTTTATCAATGCCTCAACTAATTCCCACTGTGCGATCAGCACCAAATGCCAGGGAATCAGTTTCCTGGATCAAATTTACAATGCTATTTTGTGTGTTATATTTATTATCAATTCATTAGTATATTTACACATGCCCAAATTTATTCATATTTACTAAGTAACTGTACCATTTGTTTTCACTTCTGAATTTTTAACTTTATCTTCCACTTATCAGTGGCTGCCTCAATTCTGTCCCATTCCATATTTACTCAGTTCCCCTACTTACTTTACACTTTTGTCCCTGTGCCTATCATCACCCCTTGTGTACACTGAATCTTCTGCCTCCACCTCCCAAATGCCAACAGCAATTAGCTAAGGTGTTCCATCATTCTGAAGAAGCAGGCAGCACAGAGGCTCTGGGAACCTCAACTTGCCTTTGTGGAGTCTTTGGTGCCCTCCGAAGTGATAGATGCCTTTTATTATTTAACAATGTTCACTACATTTATCTAGGACCCTTTATATCCAGACCTCCACACCTCATGAGCTTGAACAGTACTACAATATGCTCACAGGCTTAGCTGTCATACTGCTCTGAAGCAGGGCCCTATGTGGTAAAACTTTCTGGGTGTTGGTAATTACTTTCTGATGTCTGCTAGCCCATTAGCAATGTCTGTCTGATTTTTTTAAATCAGTGACATCAACTGAGATTCTGCCTCCACCTGTGCTGAAAGCCTGACCTTCAAAAGTAAGAAAAAGGAATGGACAAGGTAAGACAAACCTGCTCAAGAGTTCTAAGTCCACAGCAAAGAAGATCAGAGAGTGAAAGGTGGGTATGCTTAAAGAAAATCAGGAGGACTTCCTAAGAGCTGCATCAGGAAATGGGCCAAGACATTAAGTTGCTCCCAAAAAGCTTGAAAGAGGCCTATATCCCAGCAGCATTACACTGATTACAAAGTCCTTCCTGAGGCCAACGTGCCATTATGCCCTGCAACACTACCCCATGCACTCAACTCCACAAGAAATAAAGGGGAACTCAGAAGAGCCCACACACACTGATATGTAATCCATGTAGACCAGCCACCATGTGGGCCTTCTGCTTGAACAGTCTGTTATTTAATACTTCATAATAATGCTGTGCAAACCATAATTTATTTTCTTTGCCTTACAGTACCAAGATGTAGTCCCCCACTCAATAACCCCTCATCAGATTCATAGAAATTTATAACAAATCATCACTTGGCCATGTACAGTTTAATTATGAAGTAATGTAAGGCAGCATGCACCCAGTTTGGCTAGGACACACAGTCAATTTTTCTCTTAAGGCCTCCAACTGCACACTGCCTGGATGGACTCTATTAGAGGACCTGCCTTTGTGTCAGGCTGTTCAAATTCAGCAGACAGTCTTTTCATTTCCTCTCTCCACCCTGCTGGTAATGATTATCCCATTTGGTTTGCAAATATTACATAAAACACCATGTGCAGCAACAACAACAATAGGAATATTTGGCTAACTGAGATCCACTCTAGTCATAAGACATCCTAGCAACCCTTTAATCTGCCAAATGCACGTATCCAGCACCTATTCAGACAATAGCTAAAATGTTCCTTGCTCTTGTCCAGCTGCCCAGCGCATGGCTTCATGAGCAAGGCAGTACCTTGGAGAATCACAGCTGTCTGTGAAACCCTACCAAAGTGAATCTGCTGGTCAAGGAAAAAAAGTGTGAAACTTCTCATAAAGTTGTGTATTCATAAAGATGCATCATGAGCTTTCCCTGCCCATGAATGCTAATGTTAGTGAAATTGCTCCAGTGATCCACTAGTGCTTTCATAAGTCCTTCTTGTTCATGTATTCAGATGCAGGAGGAAAGGAATCAGAACTGGGATGCATCCTGTCTATTGCCCCACCATAGTTAGGGAAGCCCACTGAGTCAAACCCATCTATTATTTCTTATCATTGCTCAGTCACAATTCTGTGCAGGAAGACATGCTTAACAGCTCTCTACACCTGGATAACTAACATTTACTTTTCAACAATGAACTGATAACACAGTAGTTGGAAGCTCTCGTTTACATGTCTCTGATAGGCTGGGATGGGCTTGGGACACAGCAACAGGAAGATCTTCCATAATCAAAAATTTGGCAGTCACTGGTGCCTGTCCCAGGCTAGCAGCACCATCAAGTTCTGCCACACAGTGTTTGCTTCACAAGCCGAGAAGTGCTGGTTCACCATATGCACTTGGTCAGTAAGGGCTTTTGGTACCTAGTGACTTTCATTAATTGCCTGCACTATCTTCTTCTGGACTTAATTATTGCTGCAATTGTTTGCAAGCCACTGAGATAATTGTTGAAGTTCCACAAGCTCAGAAGTATCAGTCACTCTGCATCTAAAACCAGCCATGGGAACTCTACTGATATGTCCAACATTCATTCTTCCGACAGCAAAATGTCAGAGAGACTGAAAACTATGTAAGGAAGATCAAATTATGGGATGAGACAAAAAGAACCATGAAACTTTTGAAAAACAGCATAAAAATAGACTAAATTTTAGGAGGGAAGCACAGGTTTTCTTGGAATTTGACTCTCCAGTCCTGCAAGACTGAGAAGAGAGCTAGTAGCTCACAATGCAATGGAGCCTGGTAGATAGCAGTAAAGTAAGCTCTAGGAAGCCTCTTCATAGGACTGTATACTTTTTGCCAATACAACCTGCTGTGAGAATGCACTTTGCCAGCTAAGACACCCAATTGTGATCACCATCTTACTGAAACAGATCTAAGCTGGCATAAATTTTACCAGTAAACATTTCTAATGTGGACTATAGCTATAGATGGAAGAATTCTCCCAAAAGTGAGGCTCAGTATATATTAGGTTTGAGCCATGGAGTCTGTCTCTGAGTTCAATGCCAAATCTAAACTTCCCCAGTTTTTGATCATGGCAGAGTTCAGACCTGATGCGCTGTGTCAGGTTCAACTCTTTTCTCCTCTCCTCTCTTACCTCTGTTCATGTTGTTTAGCTCAGCTTTGAACATTGACTACAATAGGAATTGAGCATGTGCTTAAAATTTAATTCCATGTACAGCAAAAGCCGCGTTATCCAGTACCTTACAAACTGGCAAGCTCTATTAACTGGCATGCCAGTCAACGCGGCAAAAGTGAAACCGCAACTGCCCACTGTGGCACATCCGGTTTCACCGAGCCCCCATGGCCCAGGGCATAGCAGCCTGTCCCCAGTGTGCCTGTTCCCCGGCACCCTGATGTGGCAGGAGGGGCAGCGGTGCACCGGACGCAGCAGGAGGGGCAGAGGCCCAAACAGGCAAAGACGCCTGTTTGGGCCTCTCAGGTAACCGGCATATTTGGTTATCTGGCACCCCCCCCCATTCTCCATGGGTGCTGGATAACAAAGCTTTTGCTGTAATTATATTTTGTTTGAACACAAAAATCGCTTGCCACATCAGAAGACCAAATCTACTAACGTTCTAGGAAGCTTATACATGCACATTACTGTAAGGAAGGTACAGCTTTCCTTTGATTTACTATCCTTTGTAAATTTTTCCCTCCGATGTACAAATCATCTTCAGTATCTTGCATATGGTTGCAGTTCCTACAAACATTTAAAAATGCAAACTGAATATAAAGACACTCTACATGATTATTTTGTATTATTTTACCACAGATACTAATTCATAGTACATTTACTCTGCAGTAAGGAGGAAGTTAGGGTGGCATCTTAGACATTAACTGGTTCAGAGAGCTGTGAGCTTTTGTAGGAGATAGCCTACTTCATCAAGTGCTATGAACAGAATGGAAAGACAGAATAGTCTGTCCTTTCTAGACAAGTTCCTCTACTTCAGATCATTCATTTACAATAACTAGACACTGGTGTGCGTGCAAGAGCAAGAGACTTGCAACCTCTGTGGAATATAGATAGTTACACATAGATAAATACCAGTAGTATTCTCTAGCAGGCTAATATGGTATGTAATTTCTGGACAAGAAAAATTACTGAGTGAAAAAGGAACAAAATAAAAATACTATTTATTTCATTTTAACCAAACTAAGTCATTAAAATGAAATGGGTTAAACAAAACAAAATGCTCCAGAAAATGCCTTAAGTGAAGTGTCAAGATGAATTACACACAGGAGAAAAATAAACAAATTTAACATTTGAATTTACATTAGAGACTGCAATACCTGTATTCAAAGTAACAATCACTTTCTAGAAATGCTGGAAGTCTTTCTTTCTTAATCCACTGAATTCCCTGCTCTCGATCAAGGCACTATTAAAAGAAAGAAAGACCAAGCATCCATGTTAATCTTAACTTCCTCTGGTTTTACTTGTCACATACTTAACTGATAGGATACTTTGTAGTAAGACAATCCCTTTCCCCCACCACACACAGGTCACCCAGCTGAGTAAATTAGTTTATCTTCTTATAAATAGTTGAGAAAGCCTGGTTTTGATCTCACTTGAACCTGCATAAATAGAAGCATTTCAACTTAAGACAAGAAAGCAAATGAAAGAATGAATTAGGCCTGTAATGTACAATTTAATGTGCCAATTAGAATATCAGCTGCCCATAAGTTATCTGTAATGTGAAATAGAGAACGTGGCAGACACTACCAGCAGTAAACTATTAACAATAGTCAGCATTTTTCTTGATATTCTTGAGGAGTGAAGAAGCAATTAAATGGTCTTAATCTATTCCCCAACAGCAGAAAAACTGTAGCTATTAAAAAGAACAACAACAACAAAAATTTAAAAAGCATAAAAATAAACCTATTAACAAACTACAGCTTTCTCTTAAATCAGTTGTAGGCTAAGTTAGTTCTGTTGACTTAGTGAAATTATTCCTGATTTATGCCAGCCTAAGTGAGAGAAATCTGAGGTCCACAGAATCTCACTACTGGCTCTGTAAGAAATGAATCTGAGACAAAGCACCACCAACAAATGTATACATTCTTAAGAACTAAGCTTTCATTTATTTGAGGAGTATTTTTCTTTTTAGTGACCTGGTTGCTGGGGAAATTGAATTCCTGCGAGAATAAAATCCTCTACTTGTCCACAAAAAGGAGTAAAGGACAGGCAGTATTGATATTGTAGCTCTTTGCTACCCCAGGCAATCAGTACATATGGGCTTGAACTTACATTTTCTTTCTATGATCTAGTATTTCATAAAGGGTAAGGGTTATTTCTGCTTCATATGCATCTCTAGAGGATTAAAAAATCTAAACTACTTTGCAAAGTAGGTGGTTTCATTTAAGTAGAAGAAAATATATCAAAATATGGAAAGCTTATGTTGGCTGTGGGTCAGATAGTGTAATTTGTGGAGATGAAGACTAATTAGTCTCCATGCTATAGTATGTGCCTCTTTTGGTAACTGATAAGTTTTTGGAAATATAGAAGTTGTCTCTTTATTTTGGCCAATTTCTCTAGATGTAAGAAAAATATTTGCAATTTGTATGTACCAATGGAAACATGTCCCAGTTTTTTTATCAGTTATTCATAATATGTTTATGTCTGAGTAAATGCTATGCAAAATTAATTATATATTAGCTGGAGGAAAAGAACACCCAGAAAAAGAGATCTAAATGTAATCCAGTAGATTTTGTTACCTTTGTTACCAGGGTTAGCCGTAGGCCTTGCTGGGACCCAATCCAGCAAAGCTTTTAGCACGTGTTTAGCTTTAAGCTTGTGGATAGTCTCATAGTCTGCTCATGTGACTGAAGTTAAGTGCTTTGCTGGACTGGAAAGTAAGAGGTTCAAAACCTGATCTGATTTCCTTTTCCACCTGTGACTGATTCTCTCCCCTTCAGCATATGCCTGTCATTATATAATTCACCCTCTGGTTGATTCTTAACTGACCATAGCTTAACATACACATATTCCCACATCTGCAACTTGCAAGCATGCCTCCCTCCCCCCTTGTTTGCTTGTCGATCTTCACAGGCTGGGAGGATGGTGAGGATAGAGAAAAAGAACATAAGAGGTATTCCTCAGATTACATCTGCCTAAATTCAGACTGGTTCTCATTGCAAACAGGATGGATGTTAAGACTCACAGTGAAGCCAAAGTCATATAAGATGCTTTTTACAAACAAACAATTCTCATTCTTGCCTCTTGAACAAGGTTATAAGCAGTCAGCTGAGCAAGAAGGAACAAAGAGTGAAAAATCAAATTCCACTCTGATCTGAACTGAACTAATGGAAGCAAGTGGTAAGGAATCACTATGAGTGAGATGTGACCATGACTGCTGGCATGACAAAATCGATGTGGCTGACTTCTGGTACTTTGTACAGATATGGTACTGACTTTTGGCATGCTAATATGATAGGCATGGCTTTAATGTATGGTGTCACAGATGTTAAGCAGAAGTTGATGGGGCATCCAAATCACCCATCCAGTAAACTAGAAAGCTGAAACAAGGTATAAAATGCCAAAAGTGCTAAAAATGCACTGATGTATACCACAAAGGTCATGGTGCTTCCCTTCTGTGGAAAACCTCATGGAAAGAAGAAACACTCCTAAGGCTCTGAGAGATGGGGTTTTTTTGTAGTTTTACAAAGGCTGTAGTACCACAAAAACTAAAGCACTATGGGCAACCATATATTCAAAGACCACTGGCCGAAAGACAACAACATTGCCACAAAAGGCACGCTGTCTAGCCTTGGGAGTTGGTCTTTGGCTCACCCAGCCTTCAGTGAAGTCTGTCAACTGACAGGCTTCACCATGAACTCTTGCCACCATGACCACAATATCTGGCTGGCAGATGGCCAGAGCCCTGTAGCCTCCAACTGCTTGCCACCTGCACATTTACAGGTCTGGGAGGCACCCAAAGCCAGCCATTCTCCCTCTCTCTTGGAGGTGGGAGAAGAGGAGTAGGCAACTGGTGGGCAGCCTGAGACCTGAGTACTTTCCAACTAGGCATTTCTAGGTCTTAGACTCCCAACCTGTCTGGAATTTTAAAGAGTCTATGGGCAGCCCAAGAGCCCTTTAAAGTTCATGGCTCTCCTGCTGCCCGAGAGTGGAGAGTGCCACTGCCCAGGCATTCTCCACCCTCAGGAATCTCAAGAACGCTTTCAATTTAATGGAGGTCAGGCAGTTCAGGAGTCCTATAAAGTTTTCGATGTTTGAGCTTCCTGAGAGCTGGCATTCTCCTCCATTCCACCCCAAGGCAGCCTTTGCCACCACTGCAACAATGGTGAGGCAAACTGCAAGCTCCCTGACAACTTGCTGTTTGGCGGGTTGTCAGAGAATAAGATGCTCTCTCTCCCTCCTGCCTCCCTCTTGGAGTGGGGAAGGAGGAGCAGGGTATGATGGGATAGTGAAGGATTGGAGACCTGATCAGATGTTAAATTTGTTCTGGCAAGACAAAGATGTTGTCTGAAGCAGCACCTTCTTTGTCATGAATCTGCTATTTTTGTGGCAATTTTTTAACATCTGGCATGTTACAGTTTGTCTTGGTAAACTTGAATATAGCCTATAATAAACATCATGTCTGTCATTAAATAACTTGGGCCCTTACATAACATAAAATAGGGCAGTACTGTCCCCTCCCAACTCACATGAGAGGAAATACTAGGTGGGGAAGGTTAGGGATATGGAGCCCAAGAATGCACAGGGAAGCTCAGCCAAAACCCCACAAACCCTAAGACGTGACAGAGAAAGATATATTCAGCTCTTCAATTCCACTGAGATCAATGCAGCTAGTTATTTCAAGGCAGTGATTCTTAATCACTTTTTGGTAGTCAACCTGACCTTTCTATGTCAAACCTCATTACATTGTGGCCACCATTACTTACTGATTCAGCTATTGGCACTTGTGAAATTAGCACATCTAATTTTAGTTAGACTAAAACTAGCTTCCCTTTCTGTGTGATCTCAAATAAGCCATTCCAAGAAGCAATCACTTAGAATGCTGAAAAACTTTCTTCCATTGTGCCCTTTGACCAGTTTTTCAGTAAGCAGTGAAAGTCCCCTATTTTTAGCATTGTGGTAAATTTTGCTTCCTTTTTGCCCTCTCTCAGCATTGGACATTCACTTTTCTTTTTGATCTGGAAGCCAGTAATATAGCCCCATTAATATTCTTACAATCTGATACTTGAGATTTGTATTGGCATTGACTCAACTATGTGGGTCTCTCTAGTTAAGATCTGTATTTTTCTAGATTCTATGGAATCCCTTAGATGTGGTTTTACTCTTTCTCCTCTTTAACCAAAGTATTTTTCCTGTATAGTTACTAGCAAAGTATTACAGTATCCTGTTATAGTTCACCTTCCATCATGGGCAAGCATACCTGCTTCACAATGATTATGTTTAACAAAGCAGAGATGCAATCAACTACAGCTCCTTGATTTTCCTCCTCCCTGGCCATGGCATAGGTTGATGGCTGATTAGTTCCAAAACACAGTAAACAAGCATGACGAACCTACAGCACATGCAGTTTCTGCATGTGGCACTCAGCAACTCAGAGAGGGGCCAGGCAGCACAGTGGTAGAGGGACCAGAAAGCAGAGCATCAGATCCAGTGGGGAGCACAGGGCACGGAACATAAAGAAGATGCCCACCAGGAATGGAGATACCCAGGATGCTCATAGAACATAAAGAAGATGCCCACCTGATGCCCACCAGATCAGGCAGGGGAAAAGGATCAGAATGACACTCAGGGAAGGTGAGGGATAAGTTGGGGCATGCCTGCCAAAAAAAGGTTGCCCTCCACTGCCCTAAGACATTAGAACAGTTTTGAATGGTGTCTACTGGAGTCACATAACTTCCTTGATCATATCACACTAGCATAAGTGAATAAATCAAGTACCACAGCCTGCTGAAATGTATTTTTCTTCTGCAAAAGTACAATTTAAAGGAAAACTCCAAGGACTCCTTATAAAGCCATCTGTACTCTCTTGTATTCTCTAAGATGTTTACAGTTAATATTGACTTCATTTCTATTCTAAAACAAAAGACAGAGCCACTAAAGCAAGCAGAGTAAAATATTACAGCTGGTAGTGGCTACACAACATCAGGAGAAGAAGGTTTCCCTGAAATCTATTCTATCTTCCAAAACATCCACTTAGCTAAGTCAGTTCTTGCTTGCCAGAATTAGTGACTTATGCTAGTTTTACCCATCAGTGCTAACGGGAGTTAAATATGCAAGTCTTCTGAGAACTAATAGAAGAGACCCATGCATATTGCCAGACCATGAATGAGCTCACAGCCACACAACTGCTAGGCACAAGTTAAGGCAGAAGACTGAGATGCATTAGTTTCAATCAATTTGTATATTCCAAGGATCACCAGTAAACTAATTGTTGTCGTAATATTGGTGAGCAACATTTTTTCCTTAATATTAAAAAGCTTCAGGCCACAAAACTAAATTCTAGTCTAAAAGATGTACAAATGCAGTTAAATTCACTTGTATGAGACACATAGTGATCTGAGGGCATAATTTGGCTCATTGTAGTATTTTCCTAATACTGTACAAATGAACATTTTTCCCCAAGCTAGCAAGTCAAACACAACAGTAACTGCTGTCAAAATGTCTACAAAAACATTTAAATAAAAGGCAGTGGACAGAACATGCTTACCATAATCCTGTAATTTGGGTTAATATTTGGGTCTGAAGAAGCACTGCTCTTTTTGGAGAACTGCCCATCATTCTTTGCCTTCCTTGTAACATTGTAAATGGGATTTGGAGGTTTTTGAGCATGCAGTATTTTTTTAAGCTGGCTTTCCAGGAGCAGAGGGGTGTCATTAATTACTTCAAAAATCCCAAAATCAGGATTAAATTTAACCGGCTGTGCAAAGGTCTGCAAAAGAAATTTTTGAAAAGTTATAATAAGGAAACTTTCATTTGAGAAGTCCTGTTTCTGCAGTATAAAAGCACCCTACAGAACAGAATCTGGTATAAATAGGTTTCCTTCTCCTTCATTTCAGGACTTCTGCTCACAGCATACTTGCCCCTCTCTTTTCATTGTAAGGTTTTCCAATACAGGTTTCCCTCGCTTTATGCTGTACAGGCGTTCCTGGAAAACAGCGCATAACTCAAATTCGCATAAAGGGAACCCACTTTACAATGTAACAAATAGGGTTACGTTCCAAGACCTCCACTGTACTGACCCCCAGACCCGTTTCTATCACTTCTACAAGACAATTTTGGTACTCACCAACAGTAGACAGTACACACAAGCACAAGGCACTATCATAATGGGGATGGCAACTACAAAAACACGTGTTGCAGAAAACGAGCAAGGAGCACAGATCCACACAGGAGACTATAGTTTGGTGTGTGTCACTCCCACAGTGAACCACACAAAGCAGCTGGCTGCGGACTTCCACCACACCGATCGCATAAGAGTGAGTTTACCTCGCATATAACGAATTTTATTTATTTATTTATTTATTTTAAAGGCCTATGGCCTCATATTAAATCAAAAACTTAGCAAGAGTCAAGACCAATATTCCCATATCAAGTATTACCATATATTGCCAATTCAATTAGGGACTGTATGACCTATGTACAACAGTTCCAATCCCATCTTCAGCTATGTACATGCAACTTCTGTCAACTTCACATACACGTGCATACCTAAAAGCAGAGTAGAAGCATGTGCATACCCAAAAGCAATCATTAGTTTTTTCTGTCTTTTTTTTTTTACTGTAAACCAAAACTAATAATTTTGCATTCAAACTTCAAGAAATGATGATTATGAAGGTTGTATAAAACATTCAAACAGTTCACTATGAAGTTGGAGGCATTCTGCTTTAAGAAAAAAAATCATAAAAAAATCATAAAAATGAGAAGACAAAAACTTGAAGTGGCCTTTTTTCCCCACACAATAATATTAATTGAATTTAGTCTCTTTTTGTGAGATCCTGTTTCATTTCACACCAGTATAAATCCAAAGTAACTACACTGAAATCAAGCACTTTTGTTGCTTCTCCAACTGCCCACAATTTAGCAATAATGAGATGCCCAAAACTTAACACACTATTCAAGTCTGGTTACACTAGACTAATGAAAAAGCTCTATGATAGTTCTTTCATATCCTGCAATATCTTTATGTAGAGGCCCTGAACCACCAAAGTACTTTAGCATGTGATTAAATTAAGCATAAATAGCTCCTATGCCTTTCAGGATTTATTTGATCAGAACTAAACACCCCAGAACTTTATTGGCCAGGTTGGCTGCCTGATTTTACCATAGTCATATCTAATTTTCTGTATGCTGTCACCCCTGTGTCTTTTTCGCATTAATACTTTCCAGGTTTTTGTGGACTTCATGCTTTTTTCTATAGAAGTACTAAGGTGCAATTTTAAGACTGGGTTTGGTTTGGGTTTTTTCAGTATTATGTATTTACTCTCCTATGTTCAGAATGCCTCCCAACTTAATAACTGCAAATTTATTTTACTTTCATGCTTAATTTTTATAAATTCCTGACTTTGAGTGATTAAGCCTTCATAATGCTTACATTAAATAAATGTATTATTTAATTTCCTACGCTTTATGAAAAGGGGAAGGGAAAGAAAAAAAATAAAAAGCAGGACTCGTTTGCAGAAAAAAGCAAACAAGGCATGTAAATTCCATAATCTGGAACTATTTGACTAGACATTACTAGATTATTTTAGTTCTATGGTATTTAAATTGAAAGCTAACCAAAGACAACATTAATTTATCACTCATATCTACTTTTACTCAATCTCTAGTAACTCAGTTCTAGGTCTAGATTTTTCAATATGCTTTCTAATTAACCAAACAAAAAACATCTGGCAACTTTAATGTAGTGAAACAGATGCCAATGACAACTTTTAAATATGAACTGTACTGTCATTTTGGATGTCTGACCACAAATCATTTACAAGACACATCTACTAATAGAATGAAAGAAGTAAGACTTCAAATAATGCATATTAGACCAAAAACAGATACATTAATCTAAGATGCATTTTTCTGACACCAGATTTAACATGTACACACACACACACACACTCAGCCAGAAAACTGTACTAAACAGATCATTTCATCAGCACCTCAAAGAGAAACATCTCAGAATAAAGGGGAAGGAAGCTTTTACTCCTTAGTTAAATAAAATTACAACAGATTCCTTTGTGAAAGTGTGTACTATAATAATTTTACAGATATGACAAAATATGCAGTAAATCCAGACCTACTCTTTACTCAAAACCCTTCCAAGAAAAAAGAAAAGGTAAAATTTGAAATGTAAATTTTGGCCTGGTTTAGCCATTCTTGCAGAACACTCTTCTGCTTTGGCAAGCCATAAATTTTGCTGAGAACTAAAATACACTAGATGTGACCAATATATTCCAGTATGCAGGACTTTCATTCAGTTTTAGAAAAGTCACTAAGCAAAGTACAGACAAGCAAATGCTGTTTTCACACTGCTGTATGGGAGATATCTTAATAAGTAAACATTCAGACATAAATGGTTGACAGCAAAATAACTTCTCAGATGTTAAATGCAAACAGCTGAATATGTTTTTGGACGAAGAACAAATCAAATATAGTGTTCAGAAACCTATGAGCGATCAAATTAATTGTAGTGGTGGCCAATGTTCCTATTTCCTCCCAAAACAGAATACAAAACAGCATCTCTCTCCATGTTCCTAGGATATTGCGCATTTCTCTCTATGGGTCATGGCTTTATAGCTGTCAAATGTACTTAAATTCATTCAAGAATTCTCCTATATTCACCACACCCCATGGAGAGTCATCCAACCTGGCCCCCAAAAACTGAATGAGGACACTGCAACTGTCAGAAGGCCCTGACCAGGCAGAAAATAAGTGGAATAGAGGAAGTTAAATAGCTTTGAGAATCTAGTGCGAAATTCTGTCTATATGTAAGTCAATGGCAAAACTCTTTTTGATTTCAACAGTGCCAAGATTTCACCCCAACCATAAATAAGGACTAAGTTACAAGCAAACATCTCAGATCTCAATAACATAGAAGAAATGCTCCTTCTTTGTCTGTCAGTCAGTCTACTCTCAGTATATTTGTACACATTCAAATAATCTGGGAAAATTCTTTCAGGTTTGTCCTCCTGGTAGAGAAAAATACTCAGAGCCATATGTACAGATATTTGATTGCTGAGGCCCTGATGAGTAGAGAGTTTGCAGAGCTGATGCTGTGCTGTCAAAGGCACTGCCCTGTGCACACATCTCAGCTTGCTCATCAAGCTCCCTTAGTTTAACCCAGGAACAGATGGCAGAAGGCACCCCTGATTGGCTGACCCAGACTGCCCATGGTCAGCCTGTGTTCCCCTACAGCACAACATGCGGATTGTGAAGGGGTGTACTTCGCTCCCTGCTGAAGCATCAAAGTCCAGCAAGCAACACGCTGTCTCCCTGGGTGGAAAAAGGAGGGAATGCTGGAGGGCTATGTTCTCTTCTGAGAGAAACTACAGCATGTACAGTCATTCATTTTCCTGGGAGAAACTCTCCTGGCTGCGATTTAACCCTGGTTGTTGCCCATTTTTTTTATTCCTGGAGCAGCCATTTTTACCCTAGGAGGAATAGCCTGAATATCTGTATACTTTGGTTGCTCCTGGGAGAGTAGGATACACACACACAGGGGGAGGGGGGATGCAGGCTTGGCTCACTCCAGGCGGAAGGGAACAAGCGGCAGCAGGTCATAGCCCCCACTCCCAGAGCTGTTGCACACACATCCTGTGCTTTCCATACCAGCTGGCAAGCAGCAGCAGAGCAGAGCCCCCACTCCCAGTGCTGATGCAAACGTGAAGCACTGGGAGCGGGTACTATGCTTTGCTGCTGCTCGGAGCAAGTTGCGCCTGCATTGCACCTCCCCACTGTGCTGGATGGGCAAGCGGCAGCAGGGCATAACCCCCGTGGCTCCCCCCACCGGGGCAGAAGTAGGCACAGCCAAAGGAACTGTGAGAGAAGCCCGCATGGCTGCCCTCCCTGGCCCCATCCCTCGCCCAGGCTAGCCTTCCAGCACTTAAAACAAAAAAAAGCACTCACTGGCTCTGGCAGTGGTGATCAGGGCCTCTGAGGGCTCATGGCAGAGCCCCTACGCGCAGCACGGGGCAGTGGGGATCACCCCCCACCTGGCACCCGCGCAGCAGCTGCCCCATGGCACGAGTGCAGTGCAGCTCGACAGGGTGACACGCGCTGTCTAGGAGCTGGAGCGGCTCCACGTGTCAGCCGGAGTCGGGCACCACTCAGCCCCAGTGGCCCCAGGTCCCAAACAGCAGGCAGCACCCTGCCAAGCCATGCAGCACCAATGCGACGCGACAGCTGCC